GCAAGATGAGTCCACTATCCCCCCCTCTTTGTGTGATCTCTCTAAGCCTCTCACATAACCTCTCTTCCCCCTTTCTTAACACTCTATATACTCTACTCTTGTCTCACTCTCTCTCTCTGCCTGTTCTGCAAGTTCCAACTACATTCTGGTGCTTGTGTTCTGTATTTCTGTTGTGTAGGATAGTTGTAGCCTGGGTCCCCTTGCTGAGCCTTCAGGTCCCCTCTACACTGTTGCTGACAATCAGAGTAGGTATACTATTTTTCTGGAATAGGATTAAACTTATATTGTTGGTAGACAAGAAACTTTCAATCTGTCTCAAGATTCTTCTCATTACTAATGCAGGCATTGGCCTTAGTGTTGTTATTTATGATGACTTGTTTGAAGGCAGTAAGATTATTAATTACCTCTTGACCTTTAATTAAAGATAGACTGAGAAATAGTAGTATTTAGTTAGTGTTGGGGACCTTACACAAGGAATCACTTTTTGTGGAGCTGTCAGAATTGCTTCAAATACACTGGACATTATTTCATGGTAAGTATTCAATTCATACACCTTAGCTCAACCTAATTTGGAACAGGACTGTCCCATTGATATATGGAGCAATCTTACTATGTCTGGCTCTCTTCAAGAGTGCAGAGTACTGGAAATTGTCATCTAGGTTCAAAGGATTTCATCTTGTCAGTGTTGTTATTCGAGACCAAGTCTTATATTACAGCTTGTGAGTAGAAATTTGCACAATCAGGCTCTAAACTAATTAATGTATTTAGTGTGATATTTTGTTGTGTGATGCATATAGTGCAAATAAAAGTTTCGGGTACCAGCCCATTGGTATCATATTTCCTAGATGTTGCTGGAAACCCGGCACTACTCTGTGTTCTCGGAAGCCACCTCTTGATCAATCTGAAGGAGGCAGGAGAGCTGGGAGTGAATGGAGGAACCAATTATAGATCAAAGACTGTAAGCGACATTGAATTCGCTGAAGGTGCGTCCATTTCCTCTCGTGTATCTTCAGCGCAACCGATACACCGCAGGTGCCCCAGCAGCAGCAGACTCGAACGGAGAAGGAACATCCAGTTTTTGCTCTGGAAAAATTGCGGCAGCAGACTTGAACGGAGAAGGAACATCTAGTGTTTACGTTGCGGATGACCCAGCAGCAGCAGTCCCGAACGGAGAAGGTATATCTAGTGTTTGCACTGTAGGTGCCTCGGACCCGATCTTGAATGGAGAAGGAGCATCTATCGTTTAAAGGCACAAGTCTGTCGACTGCCATCGTAATGGTCAGGAGTTCCATTTCCGGTTTATTTTAATACACCCCCGTAATCATGATAGCCTGTCCATTGCATCTATGTTGTCTGTCCGCTGCACACTTGTTTAGGTTTTGCGACGTCTTTTATATTTATTCCCGTGTCCGCCCTGTAGTGCCTGGTGCCTTACTGTAACCTGTCGAATATCAGTTTATTTATTCACCTGCTAGTAAAGTATGAAAGTTGTTGCATGAATCTTCTCTGAATATAAAGGTCCTACTTTATCCCCTGATTTTAAACAGGTAGTGCTTCCGCACCCCAATAATCTTATCTCATTAGGCTCAAACAACATCATTATTATGCTCAGGACGGAAGCAGGAATGAAAATCTCGAGAGTGTGCTAGTAAAATTATAGGTGGTCTATTAAAGCCTCCTCATGCACCTGCCACAATTCTACAAAAACTTGATTTCGTACAGTTAGGTAAGTACAAATGACAGACGTTTGAAAAGTGATACTGCTCTTCGGCCTTGTTCGAACTTTGTACCAACGACACGACCTTACAATGATTCATAACAAACTCCAATCCTTTCAGCCAGGGCTCAGGAGGTGCCTAAAACGCATTAGGATCAATACCGTCATACTCTCATAGCATAGTAGAAAAACACATGCATTATTGTGCAGTAGCTGAGCTGAACAATTGTTGTAGAATTTGAGACATACTTTGTAATAGAGAAAGAGAGAAAATGAAATTCAAATTCAGGTGATTCCGATTTCTTCCTATGAGTGTGCGTAACAGGCGGGACATGATTGGCCAGCGTGAGGAAAATGTGCCAAACCGGCTACTCCGAGTCCGACTCTGTCCATTGAGCATTCGTGTGCGGTCATCTGTCCTACGTACAAACTCTCTTTTCCTCGACGCTCTCGTTTCTCGCCAATGTTGCGCAAGGCGCTCGCTCGGCTTCCAAAACGCTCGCAGCAGCATCATCGTGCATTCCATTCGTCGCCTGCTGCCCTCCGCGTCGTTGCGACGAACCCTGTGAGAGCGCAGGAGGTCACTGTGCGTTCCGGTTCTCTACGTTGTACTTTGATATGTGTTTCTTACCCATGTTGTCGGTATAGTCATTAGCGGCGGAGGGAAAGTATCCAGTATTCGACCATGAATATGACGCAGTTGTAGTGTGCGTGGTCTTCCTTTCTCAACGTAAATCTATTCTTGTCTTGTGAACTGAGGGACGGTTGTTAATTTGAAACAGAGGTGCTGGTGGTGCAGGCTTACGAGCAGCTTTCGGTCTTGCAGAGGCAGGCTTCAACACGGCATGCATCACGAAGTTATTCCCGACGCGTAGTCACACCGTCGCAGCGCAGGTACGTTCGGCTGTATCGTTCCAGGTATCTGTCCTGTCTGAATTGATACAATTCTCTGTAGGGAGGTGTTAACGCCGCTCTTGGGGTATGACTTTCGTTTTCCTGGTATTTGTAAATGATTATCTTAATTGTAATTGTAGAACATGACTGAGGATGATTGGAGGTGGCATATGTATGATACTGTGAGTCCTATTCGTTCTGTTGGTTTGAGCGAATGTTAAGCTTTATTGTAGGTCAAAGGATCCGACTGGCTCGGTGACCAAGATGCCATTCACTATATGTGCCGCGAAGCGCCAAGGTCAGTCATCGAGGTATGTTGGAATTTCCTTCAACAAGCGCCGTTCTGACACTTAACAATCTACAGCTCGAACATTTCGGTGTGCCGTTCTCTCGAACGAAGGAGGGCAAGATTTACCAACGTGCCTTCGGTGGTCAATCACTCAAATTCGGCAAGGGCGGTCAAGCATATCGATGTGCAGCTGCCGCCGACCGAACAGGACACGCCATCCTTCACACCCTTTACGGACAGTCCCTCCGTCACAACACTAACTTCTTCATCGAATACTTCGCACTTGACCTTATCATGCAAGATGGTGAGTGCGTGGGTGTAATGGCAATAAACATGGAAGACGGCACTTTGCATCGATTCCGCTCACATAAGACCGTTCTCGCGACTGGTGGATACGGGCGAGCATACTTCAGCTGCACATCAGCGCACACATGTTCGGGTGACGGCAATGGTATGGTGGTCCGCGCCGGTTTGCCACTCCAGGATCTCGAATTCGTTCAATTCCACCCAACGGGTATTTACGGTGCTGGATGTCTAATCACCGAGGGTTCTCGTGGCGAAGGCGGATACCTGCTTAACTCCGAGGGTGAACGGTTCATGGAGCGTTACGCGCCAACCGCGAAGGACCTTGCCTCTCGTGATGTCGTTTCTCGTAGTATGACCATCGAAATTCGTGAGGGTCGTGGTGTTGGACCTGAAAAGGACCATATTTACCTGCAGCTAAGCCATTTGCCTGCTGAGGTCCTTCATGAGCGCTTGCCAGGCATTTCGGAGACTGCGGCTATCTTCTCTGGTGTTGACGTCACTAAGGAGCCGATTCCTGTATTGCCGACGGTTCATTACAACAGTGCGTTCATATCCGATTTATTTACTCGAGGACTTCGTAATGACTTTTGTCTATTCATAGTGGGTGGTATTCCGACAAAGTACACTGGCGAGGTCTTGACTATCGATGAAGTAAGTCATTCCGTCATCGATTCACAGTAATCTCAACTAATATTGGTAAAAATAACAGAATGGCAAAGATAAGGTCGTTCCCGGTCTCTACGCCGCTGGCGAAGCCGCGTGTGTCTCAGTACACGGTGCAAACCGTCTCGGCGCAAACTCGCTTCTTGACATTGTCGTCTTCGGCCGAGCATGCGCACATCACATTAAGGAGAACCTTGAGCCGGGCAAGCCGCACAAGCAGGTTGACGAAAATGCTGGAATGCAGTCTATCGAGTTCCTTGATAAGATTCGGTAAGATAAACGAACATCCGTTCAAGCTTGAAATTATATTTCTAACGCTACCAATTTCTCTTTCCTTTTTCTTCTCTATCTTTTCCTCTCATTTCTAGCACGTCTGATGGACCAATCCCTACTGCCAAGTTAAGACTTGACATGCAAAAGGCTATGCAGACCGACGCTGCTGTGTTCAGAACGGAAGAAACGCTTGCTGAAGGTGTCGATAAGGTCACGCAGATCTATAAGGACTATGATAAGGTCGGCATTAAGGATAGGAGTATGATTTGGAATTCGTGAGTGTTGTTTCTTGTTGGGGTGGTGATATTTGGTGATGATTGACTGTCATTGTTTTCTCTATGCAGCGACTTGATTGAGACTCTCGAGCTCCGTAATCTCCAACAATGCGCCATCCAAACTATCACCGCTGCCCTCGCTCGTAAGGAGTCGCGCGGTGCGCATGCACGCGAGGACTTCCCTGAGGTACGTTCATCCGTCCATCTCCCCTTCCCCTGGGAGAATTCCGCCCGTGAAGTTAATTATGTTAATGAATGTTGTTGCTGTGTTGTAGCGCGACGACGAGAAATGGATGAAACACACTCTCACCTTCCAACCTGACCCATCAAAGCCAGACGTAGTGATCAAGTACCGGAACGTCATTGACAAGACGCTCGATGAGAATGAGTGCAAGTCTGTACCGCCGTTCAAGCGTGTGTATTAGATGCGCGGTTGAAGGTATACACCATGGCCCTTCTCGAGTGCGGGTGAAAAGAAGTTCCTTCATCGAGTCGCTTGAGAGGAAGGGAGGTACAGGTTTGAGTTCGAGGTTTTAGTACTTACTTGTTGTGCATGCCAACACAAAAGACCGACATGTAATCAGTTGTCTCAATGCAATTTTTTTTTCACTTGAACCGATTTCTGTTATGACTTGTTACTTGTCATTGATGACCACCATACTTTTCAAAATAGAGAGATTCCTAGTGCTACTATTTCTTTTTATTGAGCAGCATCTAAATCTAGGAATGTACGTTGAATGCCTTTTACAAGATTTAGCCTCTTTAAGTTTATCCTTTGTCGAATTTCCATCTTGGGAAGGCAACTTGCCAGAAACGAACGTTATTTTCCCTCCTGATTCTCGTCGCCTCAATATCTACCGATTTGTCAACGAGAAACAAAATGCTATCTCACCTAGATTGTTCCTAAGTCTCTGCTCGCAATCAGAATGAAGTCCCACGTCATCTCGAAAAGTAACCTTACACACGCTCGTGCACTATTAACCTTCCACCATATTCTTTCCACTCAAAAGAAACGAACGATCCGACAAGCGGCTCGGGAGCATGAAGTGTGTGGCGTGTATAAAGTTGGGTATCCTGGTGTGTTGGCTGTTGAGGGCGAAGAGGAATGTGTGAGCCAGTATGTTCGGGAGATAAAGGTGAGCCATTTTTTAAAAAAACTTCATTTGTCCTCCACGTCCTGCTTCGAATTCGATACTGAAAAATGAATGGGATGTGTTTATGTTGGATCACTTCATTTAGTCGTTGCGATGGGCGTCTTGCACCCAAGCAAACTTTACATCTGGACTTAAGGAGACGGAACTCAAGATGACACAAGCAAGCTTTGTTTCTAGCGAAGACGGCATGGGGATGATGATGTTCGAGAAGATGAGTGAGGTAGGGGCGTATATGAGACGGGTGGGTCTCGAAGACTGGTGGCGGAAATCAATGGGATATCAGAAAGGCGGCTCGAGTTGAGTTTTCTAGGATTGGGACCTTCTGTTGATGATACAGGCGAACAGACGACCTTGGAGACGAGCGTCTTGAGATGCAGATGCAACCACCACCTCTGCGTTGCTTGATGAGTTATCCCAAGCAGGTGAGCTATATTGTCTGATCCGTCAATGGGACATCCCTAGCTGACTGACCTTGTATCTTGTGCGGCAACTCTGCTGTTCCGCTTGGTGCTTCTACAGACCGAGAAGGTCGCTCCTCCTGAATTCATCAAAGTTCGGTAGTGGAAGCCAATGGGGTATTAGAGGGGCGGTTGAAGTTTATTCTTCCAGTACCTTCTGCTGGTGTTGCAAAGTCAACGAGATGAGCCTGGTCGGCTGAACGCATCCACCCGTCATCTGCGTCTTTCGATGAGTTGTTTCCGGCAAGTGAGGTATGCAGTCAATTAGACGCCCATTACTGACTCAGTCTGGACTTGGTAGGACAGCCCGATGCCGTCTTGTGCTTCTCCGGTCAGAAAAGGAAAGGAAAGGCTTCTTCTCCCAATTCTGAGACATTTCTTAGTCATTTGTCGATGGTCTAGCCTACAAGGCGAGTCACCGGATTCGACAAAGGGCTATTCCTGGCTGATTGTGTACTAGGTGGCTCAAACCGACATTCTAGGTTGTTCGTCTTGTTACTTCTAGACACGAGAAGCCCGACGACAAATGCAGCCTCTACCAAAATTCGTAATAAATGAGACATATTACGCGCTTCGTTTGTCGATGGTCTAGTCGGTTTGAGAGGCGTGAAACATCCAACTCAGGCTAATTGTAAACCAGTTCGCGCCCAACCGCAATCGAAACACCACTATCCCACTCCTATCTACCAACCTCACAAATACATACACTGCGCAGCAGTCTGTACTTGAACACTGTCGCCGACTGGCACAGCAATGTAGACGCCCTAATACAGTCACAAGCGCCGCCTTCACCGCCTTTCTTGACGCCTTGCATGGATCAGCCGTCGGTTCCACAGCGACAATCCCCGTCAAAAGGTTATTTCCCTCAATTTATTTGGAATTTCAAATAAAAGGCTTTGCTGCTGTTTTTAGCTCGGCAGGTGAGACAAATAAAGGAAACAATGCGCAATAATCTCTTAACACCACTTATACAATAAGAGGTGTATGTTTAGACCTTTTGGAGAGGGACAATAGGCGAACCTGTGCAAGGATGACAGTGTTGTGTTCATTTCTGCGTAGTTCATTTTGTTGCACTTCCAGTGGTGTGCCCACATTTGCCGAGCTTACCGAGAGGCGAATCGACTCCCAAGCTGCCCAGAGAACGCCGTCTCGAAACTGGCAGGAATCGAAAGTCCCCTTCCCACCCCCTTTTTTGTCCACGAACTTCGGATAAACGCAAATATCAACGAATAGCGTTAGCGTTATCAATAATCGAAGGATTGCATGAAGATTGCATTGCAATTATATATGGGAAAGTAATATGGAGTGAATACATGGCGGAGCGAGTATACTCCAAATCTGTTACGGTATCGGAAAGTCAAGAAGTCGTCGGGAACTAAGTTCGGATCCGAGAAGGCACAGAACCGGAGTGTCATAATTAGGAGCACCTAATGTGAAGATATTACATTATTAAAAGGTACAGATAAGATGAATCTGACGAAAGAGCGTCATTGGTTATACATGGAAGCTGCGGGCGGGTATTCAATGGAACAGGGGTGGATACATGATGCCGAAATGCACAGGTGTCCGAGGCACAATCATCATCATTGGAAGGTGAAGAAAGGAGCGGAACAGGTAGATGTACTAGGCATTAAGGAAGGTCCGTAGTCCAGAGTTCATAGTCCGCGCTTCGTGACCATCGCTGACTCGCGAAGGGAGTCAGTAGTACGGGAAATAGGCGTTAAGGCGTCCGCGCTTTAACTGTAACGGGCAATCCGGTCCACTTCGCTCTTCACTGATTTCCCGAGCTTGCCCGTGTTCAGCAACCCGATCTGCACATTCGGGCCATCCCATCCATCAGGTAAACGCTCCTCGGCGAACCACTGTTCGAGGTGCTGGCGCGGAACGACGCGGTCAACAGCATTCTCCCCATTCGGAACTCCCATCGCAAGGAGAATAAGAGCAAGCTCGCCTCGTGTGATGAAAGAGTGTACGGGATCAAGCGGTCGAGCGAGTTCAGAGTCGCGGAGATAGCGTACACGAGCAAGATCGTAAAGGGTCAATGCTCCTGCCCCACCAGGACCCTTCGCAGTGACGCTGCCTGCATTTAACAACGAGGCAAGCCGCGTGGGGTCAGGGACAACTGGGGCGTATAATTCGCCTGGAGTTACGTCCGCATGACCAAGAGAGCCGTCATGTTCAATATGGTTGTGACGGGCAAGGTCGTGTAGGTCGAGGGCGAGGCGCATAGAGAAACCGGAGCCAGTAATGTGGCCGCACCAGAGGAAGCCCACGACAGAGAGTACCAGTGCGAGTGGTAACGAGCAATTGTAGACCGTCCGTATGGCCTTCACAAGTTGGAAGAAGGGTATCGAACGGCCTGAGTGGGGACTAGAGAATATGCACATGTTATGACAACATCGACGATTGAGTAGTATAGAGTTGCTTACATATAGCCGTGGTTGGCGAGCGCGTTGAGTGCAGGGCATGGTGAACGACTGTCACCAGGGCCAGCAGAGACATAAGGGTTACGAATGGTGGTTGAAGACATTGTGCCTCTGAGAATATTGCGAGTAGATGGAGTTGGATGTTAAGTACGAGATGAGGGGTTTGCGCATACTTCGGCTACTACTTATAGCCCCAGGTCGGGGCCCATGAGACATTAGTGTGCCAAAGATATAACAACAGACGGAAGCTCTTATTGTGAATAAATTGCAAAGTGGGGCGCAGACGTCAGGAGGCTGATAATACACCGGCCATGAGAAGCACACGAGGCTGATACAAGGGTCAAATAAATGAGTCCTAGAGACCCACATAGCTGCCTGTTACCCTGGTGAGTCACGGCGCACGTAAGTCCCTCGCCGAAGCCTGGTGCAGGTAACAGGCGCTCGTTGTCGAAGAGTAAATGCTTGGACGCAATTTTGACCGGATCAGGCGCAGCAATGTGCGAAAGAAGCCAAATTTAGCCGAGCGGTGATCAACACTGCTTTGGCGTTATGAGGCAGTACAAGACATCCAGTTGTAACGACTCCAAAGTCAGAGAGAATAATAATAATAAATGTTGATGACAACGGAAGGAGAAGCATCGTTCTTTGGATGGCTTGCACATAGAAAGTATTTCCCACGCCATGGCAGTGGTTAAATGAAACATCTTTTTGTTACAAAATTTGTAATTTCTTTTTCGGCAATGGAAGTCTGTCTGGGACATTAACCAATCATTCTTTTAAATGTACTGTACAAGTAATACTAATGATGCTTCGACACAGATGCATGGAAGGGGCACCGTCCTACAGGCTGTTCAATGTCCCCCTTCACCAAGTCCTCCAGTTTTCCCTTGAGCTTCTCAGCCTCCTTCTGCTCGAGCGTCCCACGTTCATTGTGCGCCGCGGCCAAAAGTTCATCAACAACTTTCTTATATTCCTTTTGTGAACCGTTGAGTTCGCCTAGAGTCAACTGTTTTTCAGGCGTTTCCCAGCCTTCAGGAAACTTTCCATCATGCAACCATGCCCTCATAGCGGCCTTCAGGACAAGTTTCTTTTTCTTGTCTGTACCATGCTTACCCTTCACGGTAATATCCTTTCCAAACATCCACATAATCATAATGATTTCACCGGATGCGACGGTAGCATGTATTTTGTCAAGATTCTCTTTGCCCATGAGGTTATTGCGGTGCCGTATGAAGTCCTCCATAGAAAGATACGGTTGCTCTTCCTCCGTCCCATTGATTGTCATAAGTTGGTTGTAACGCTCTTCGTCGACTTCTACGGGTGCATATGCTTGTCCTTCTCCGGCGTCAGCATGGACTAGCGAAAATCTGTGCTCGATCCTGTTGACACGTGCCAACTTGTCCAGATCCACGTAAAGCCCTACAATATGGCCGCAGAGGAGAATGCCTGGGACGGCAAGAAAGTAAGCAAGCTCTTCCGAAAGGTTGTACACATCCTGGAGTGCCTTCACCAGGCTAGACAGATGGATCTGCTTTCCGTCGCGATGTCTGAATAATACCATGTCCTTAGCTTCAGCAAGCCAGCTCACGCAGTGACCGAGACATACATGAATCCATAGTTGCGTAGCGCGTTTAGAGCTGGGCAAGGAGACGTCTTGGCTCTCGGACTAGGCGTTTCGAAAGAATGATCCTTAAATCTATCTGCCATGGTGTTTGCAGGAAGGAAACTCTGCAGCAAGGTCCACCAGGCATAGTCTCTGTTGCCTTTATAAATCGTCGCTTGCAAGAGTATCGTTTATGTCGCGAATCTCCATGAAGTAGGAACAGATACCAATGAGGAGACGGCAATTTGCTCATCGCGTGGCACCCTGACAATCCATGAGCTACGGTAAAGTGCGATCGATGCGCGCCACAAAGAATCGTGCCCTAACCATTAGACTATAACCTGTTCAACCGGACATGGCCCAACACTTGTGGCACTAGAAAGTGATTGAAGTGTTTGTTCTCTTATTAATCAGTACATCGGATTCATTTGGTACGCGATCCCAGCCGGGTAATCTGGCCAAAGACGCAATATTATGGATTTGTCAAGTAATTATATACATATAACCATATACGAGTAGAGGGTGTATTAATTGAGGCGTACCGGAGAGCGATAGCAAACTGATATGTCCTGACTCTGTACGAAGTAGGACAAAGGTATATTGATCCGTAAAGTGAGTCCGTCTCGCCACAAGGTCTTTCCGGTAACGCCGAGACCGGGTCCATCCATATCACCGCCGTCTGGTTTGCCTTGCTGCTACTCTCTCGACCCTCCTTGGAGCCACTTCACGTCTGATTGCTCTAGCCTTTTCTGCCCGCGACCCCGGTGCAGGAGTATACGGTTGTCCCTTTTCAATTTCCATTCGCCTTTCCAATTCATCCTTGGCACGAGTACCGGGAGTAGGAAATTCGTCCTCAGAACTTTCCCCAGCTTGCGAAGGCTGTAAAGCAGAATTTTCAACTCTATTACCACTGAGGGAAGATCGCTGAGTATGCTTTGCTTGTGGAGTCACGTCCATCGTTACCTTGATCCGTTTGGCCCTCTCAATGAGTTCTTTATCTGCAGCGAAGCCCGATTTATCGACATCCCCAGATTCCTCTTCTTCCTCTTCTTCCTTGATAGCCACAACTTTCTCTACAATTTCCATGGATTGTTCCTCGGTTGTCTCATTATCTTCTCCGTTCTGCTCCTCAACTACCTGTAATTCTGCCTTTCTTTTGCCCAGTACGGGAGGTCGTGGTACATTCGGCGGTTCAACAGAACGCGAACGACCACGGGTATTTCGGTAAGGTGCATCTCCCTTGACCTGACGCTTAGAAGTTTCCCTCGCAGTGAGCTGCTTTGATTGTTGAGCTTTGCCGACGGCTTTTGCTGACGGTCTAAGCACAGATGCTCGAGGGCCAGACATATACACCGGTGATCGATCCATGGAGGCACGTTTCTTAGATCCCTTTCCGCTCAATTGCTCGCTCTGTTTGGGCGGACGTCGGGCCTGCGCGACGACCACATCGGCAATATCTTCGTCTCCTTCTGTTGCAAACTGCGACCGCCGTGTTGAGCCCGACTCGCGCTGAGATGGCCGAATGCTACCCTGAGTCGGAACGAGAGTGGCTTGTGTATCCTTTGGAATCGACACCGATGTAGCCATTCGCCCCGTAACACCCGTATCGAATGTAGCTTTATTCCCGGCCGCTCCTCTGCGTTCCGCTGTGGCTCCAGTTGATACACTGGCTTTTGGGACAGTCTGTCCACGAGTCTGCGTGGGCACTAAAGTTGCCTGGGTACCACTCGGTCCATCCGGTCGAGTTAAGTCGGGAATTAAGCCAAAGTCTCCAATATCGTCATTTATGTATAGATCATCACCTTGGTCAAACCTGTGCGCAAGTCAGCATACAGCGATGGGCGAAACATTTGACACATAACATACTGGTAAAAACGGTTAGTTTCCAGAGATTTCTGTACGTTTTCCGAGACACCAGCCATGAGCGGGCTCGACGGGTTATGTAGTACTTCCCTGCGAGCTTGCTCAGGAGTTGAAGGAGTCTCTTCAACCACCTTATTCCCACCGCGACGACGCCCTCGAGCCTGATCATTATCGTCGTTATCGTCTTCCTCTTCGTCGTCGTCCTCTTCTTCGACCCCACTATCATCATTATCTGTCTGCCCTCGCCTTTCTGCCCTGACAACCCTATGACCAGAACGCAAAAATCGACTGCTCTTTCGTGCGTCGTGTATATATTCACCTTTTCCATCGGGATGGGGAGGTTCAACTTCGAGATGCAATTTGATCTGGTCATCAATTTTATCTCGCTGTGTCTTGTATCGGTTACGCCAAGATTGCACTGTATGACGCTTGGCCCACGGATAATCCTCTTCGTACATCTGCATATGTAACTCATTGTTTGATAGTACTATAATCTCAGGTGGTGCTTACCTCGTCACACAGGTCCTTGTATACTCCCTCTCCCATACGCCCCCCGCTCTCATCGTGAGGGATTCGACGAGCTAGGTATACAGCAAGGTGATAATCGTCATCTTCTGTGAATTCCGTCCGTCCAGTCCATCTAGTGGAGTAAATAAGGAGGCAGAATTCACAACAAACTGTCAGGCTCACTTGGTTCCGAGTTTGCTTCCACCAAGCGACCTCTTTTCCTCCTTCTTATGGCTGTATTTTTGCCCTCGCAAACATTTTCTGACAAAGTCTGGCAGTTCCACATAGATCGATTTCGAATGGGCATAACGCTTTTTGACTATTTCGTAATGCTCTTGCGGCACTATAACTGTGTTTGCTTCCTGCACGTTGTCACATATTTGTCCGCCATTTCCCTGGGATAAAGGTTTAATAAAATGTTATTGTGAAGGAACAAAAACACGTCACTTCTATATCACGCGAAAGCGTCTCTTTCTGACCTTGCGATAATGTGTTGTGCAGGAAGAACTTTACGGGTTCTCCATCTTTTGTAAATATCATTCTCTCGGCCTCGGACTCGGGTTCGCCCTGATTAGGCTGAGATCATTTGCGTTAATAACAAGATGTATGCATGCAACCAACCATGATGAGAAAGAAGAAATATCCAAGCTAGATGGTGAAATTGGTTCGTATAGGAGTCACCAATGACTTTGTGGTAGCAGAGCTATAGTCGTTGGTATTTCGGTGCTCTATACAAGACGCGATTAGCCGAAAGTGGACGAACTGAAAAGGCAATTGTACCTGCCTTTGCAGACCAACAAAATTTATTATACAATGCAGATGGACGCAAGGAAATAGCGAGTTATTAGCCTTTCCTATGTGCTCCCAGCACTGTGTAGTGGATGCAAAAATAAGCGGTATCAACGGCTGCAATACGACGCGACGCGTATTTAGCTAGTGTGACAATACAATCGTCACACCGCGTTCAGCCAGAACGTGACACATACAGCCCAGTCCGACCAAACTTGTTTGTGATCGCTTTGTACGTTTCCCTTCTGCACAATTACAATGACAGCAAGCTCACACGTTGATAGAATCTCTTCATTTCTTACATGGCTTACGTTCCACCACACCTAAGGAACAAGCAATCGCTTTCATCACAAGTCGATTCAGCGCCGAGGTCGCTTGAGTCCCTCCAAACGACTGCGAAGTCAAGATCAAGCTTAGATCGGACGTATACCAGCGACGATCTTGCCTCGCTCCTCGAAATTACAAGGAATGGTCTCAGCACACTTACTGTGGCCACATCTGCAGCTGCAGAACAGTCAGAACACACGGAGAGGGGCTTAGATGACGGTATTCTAAAAGCCATTGTTTTGTTCGAGGGTCAACATCCAGAGTGGCAGAACAACCACAAAGTCCTGTGCAAGTCAAATCTGCAGGTTTTGCATACACTTATTGAGGATCAAAAGCGCTCCAGTGATGACGATGCTGTAGCAGAATCTCACGCCCTTAACGCTGATTATCCGATATTTCGAGAAATCCCATTTATGAAGAACAAATTTGAATTCGTCGGCTGGTGGAAGATCGACAACGTCGACTTCCTCGCACCAGGAAGTGCAGAGCTTGTATCTCTTTTCGAGAAGAAATTCGGAAAACAGAATGAACATAAAAATAGTTCACCATTTTCTATCCAGCGCCATAAACCAAAGGCGCGTACCGAGCAAGCTTGGCGAGACGGTCTCAGTAGGGAATGGGCAGTCGTTAAACTCGTGCAGAATCACACGAGAAAGGATTCGCCCGAATTGTCTTTAATGCCGACCCCGTCCAATGGACTCGAGCTTTCTAGGGAGGCCGAAGACGTCGCGGACGTGTCAAACACGGCCATCCAAGGCACCTCCACCTGAGACGAGAAAATGTGGAGAGTCACTTCGATCATAACGTATACTGCCTACTTGATGATCTTCACATACGATGAATATATAGATAGGTCTTGTTTCTTGAATGTACTAATATGCTTTCGGTTATGTCCGTTGTCCTTGTCTGTATCGGACTCAATCAAGCAACAACCCTGTGAAATGATATTTCTGGACTGGCGATTTGTATAACTCGTAAACGTAGCATAAGTATGTTTTTCAACCCAATGAAGTGACTCCGTCAAACCAGCAAGGATTTGAGTTTTATGAAGTCTGGAGTTCCCAATCCCGTGATGGCATCCCAGCCTACATAAAACAACGTTAGGTATGTTAGAAATGAGTAAACATCATTGTACCTTCAGTGGCATTGAATCCTAAAAATTGTGTAGAATAAGGATTGCCATGTAGTGCACGATAAAAGTTAAAGACACCTACCTGGAGTACCACATCCGGGGTTATTTCCCGAAAGGATATCGACAAAGCCTAATAATTATGGCAGCATAAATAACACGCGTCAAAGCCTTGGCATAGATGAACATACCAGGAAGTCCGACAGAATAAAGAAGGGGATTCAAGAATCCAAGCGGAGGCTTTCCACTCGCAATACGCGCATCGTTGAGCAGAGTGACAATAGCAGCGAACGTAGGGGAACTTGCGGACGTGCCACCAACAGACTCTACCCTACCACCTACCACCACCTGAAATCTTTGAATTTACATATGATAATTAGTAGTTAGCATGCCATGGAGTATCTGTACCCACCCTTCGCCTTGTGCACTTACGTCGGGAACCGCTCGCCCAGCAGGACTAAGTCAAATTAGTACAAGAAGGCAAGTAGCAGGAGATTCATCGGGCACTCACTTGAATAAGCCTGCATATGTACTCCCAAGCTTTTGAAGAAACGGAGGGACGACTTCGGATTGATACTCCGGTTGAGGGAAATACACAGAGAATCCACCCTGTGAGAAATCGATTCCTACTTCTGGCGCAATATGAAACGTCGCGCCAACCTATTGTATGCACTGAGAAACGTGCACCAAAAGGAGGAAAGTGGGCTACTTACACTGGTCACGAAGGGACAAGTCGCCGGGAAAACCTGATAACGCCATCATAAGAATCTCAAGGCGGCGATAGAAGTGTGTAAGGGATACTTGCAAACTCACGGGTTGGAAAAGCGTCCGGTTGGTGCCATCGTTGGTAAGGCATGTTCCAGCTCCAACACCTCCGTCACCGCTACTAAACATGACAGACGCGCCTCGAACACTCAGTTGAGCGAAAAGGTTACAGGCTCGGCTAAGGTGAAATCCAAGCTATAGCGAATTGTGTATATGACTATTGGCGCGAGGACGTACACTGCGAACTCCTTCGGAAAAGTTTGCCTAACTAGGTTACTTCAAATTTCACAATTAAACAAATTAGAGCTTACTCGTCTCCACCATACGAAGTCGTGAACGAAAAAGGCATATCATCATGTGAGAGAACGAAGTTCAACCAGTCAATATACGGCTCGTCACGCTGCGGTGGAGTTACAGAGTCATTAATCGTAGGAGCTGTTCCTGGAGTAGTATAGTAGATGTTCGGAGTTGGGAATGTGAGTCCGGTCGTGTATTGGTTATCAAGGTTTGCCTAATAAACATGGATTAGAGCTTATTCAACGGAACATTTGCTTTATTTACCTCAACGCCCGGATCTGACTGATCGTTTAGCCCACCATTGACGGAAATGACTGAGACGTTGAACCCAATCGCGTCAGGACGAAACTTTGAATAAAAGGTCTATCCACTATATTCAACTTCAATGATATAACACCTTGCGGAGAGGCAGATACCTGAAGATCTACGAAGTTTACGAACTGAAGAGGTCCCACGTTAGTATCTAAACCCACTATATCCAAGGAAACTACCCTACCTGTTCCAAATACCCAGTAACTCCGATGCGATTACCTTTGTCTGCTGCCTGAAGTACATACCCTTCTGTTCGATAAAGCTGCATCAAACAAGTTGGCGTGATAGTTGTATTGCAGCTCGCAGATATATTCTGTCCTGCAGGACCGATCACGTCTGGAAGTGCTGCCTCGGAATTCGTCAGGTTCAAGTCACCTGCCTCCTCATTTACGTGAAACGTAGCATGCATCTTGCGCATATTATCAAACATCGTCGTTGGCTGAACGAGGTCGACGTGATCGTGTAAGCCCCGTGGAAGACTATATGCCAGTGTGCGGACTATCCTCTCCCCAGTTTGCGTATGTTGATAGATACTGTATTTCGCATGGAGCATTTTCTCGACGCGCTCTAGCGGTAGGCGTACAGAGATCCAATCACCGGCAGAGTTTCGTGACGTCTCAGCCGTGGTGTCAATGCCATGTGCAGTAAGCCATGCATGTACTGCGTCGACCGTCTCTTCATGCGGCTTCACTAATTCCTCAGCCTCTCTTTAAACCATCCACAATCATCAGCGCAAGTCCAAGCACGATAATGAGAAACAAACACACAAACGAGAAAGATGCTTTCCATAATTCGGATGCAAAGGATCGCTAACCTGGTACAAAGTGCTAATAAGCTCGTCCATCCTGTCTTGCTTCAGTCCAATCTTCAGGGTGATAGGATGATCTTGAGACGGAATCCCATCTTCCATCCAGCCATTAGGAACATCTGTCCATGCGTGTTTGACAGCAAGCTCTGTAAGGTGAGCAGGTGCAGCAGCGACAGTGATAGCAAACAAAGAAGAAAAAAGAGCGAATAGCGCCATCTTGCGCCCTGTCGCTTGTCTATCATCTCAGTTTTACTCGTCTCATATACCAGATGTCAGATAGAATCGGAATATTTAGGGCCGACGAATGCTTCGATGAAAGAAGCAAGGTCCCGCCCTCTGGCCTCGTGGTCTACGGACCATGCTGTATATTCTCAAAAGCACACTGATATTCCCAGGTCTCTTAAGAATAGAACAAAAAGCTGAATTAGAAGACACTCACGTCCAATGACGAGTAGCTTCCTTTCCATCTCACAAGGCATTTGAGTCCAGCACCATTTCAGTAAAGGTTGATGCACAACGACAGCAATAGATTGATAGCACAAGTAACTTTAACACAGTCAATTGTTGGTCGAGCCGAGACGTACATCTACATTCGTTACAACACGAATAAAACATCATCACAAGACATACAGCGTATTTTGATAATCTTTACTATCGGAGAGAAATCAGTGCTCTACGTGACGGCTCAGACACGGTGCGAACACCATACTCACCTTCAAAAGATTCAAAATCAGGCACGATAAGAAATTCTCAGAAATCTTTGTTCGGGCATTTGCAGCGTGCTGCTCCCATCGCAGAAATAGAAAGGTACTTCACGGCTGCAATTGACGTCTGGTGAGCCTAGGTAAGATCAAGCATCTTCGCGAGTACCATACCTCTATTTGCGGAGATATCCGCATGAAAAACGACCCTCGTCGTATCCTCACTTACACCAACATCAATTTTCCCACCTCCCATATGCCCTGGAGTGCCTTCGTTGTATCTCCAGGGCTCGACAAAAGCGAGCCCACAAAACCGTCAGATGTCATCGTCATCAGAGAAGAATTCATCTTCGTCTTCATCAAATGTTGCAAGGTTCGTGAAGTCGACCTTGTACCGGAGAATTCCGCCGATACCACCGAAACCTTTGACGAATTGTGCGCCTTCTTGAGACTTATCGGTAACAAATTCAAGATTTGCCCCGAACTCCTTGTACTTGTCAGCGAACCATTCAAGAAGCGGCTCAGGTTCCTGTGCCTGTTCCATCTCTAAACCGTTCGATTTGTCTACGAACTTCTCTCGGTCTTTCTCCTGCTCTTTACTGGCGTGGACAACTATCTCCTCTATAAAAAATATAAGCAAGTTTTAAAATTTCCAGGCACAGATATAGTATATACCTCCGGCAGCATTGCGAAGAACATAGCGCATGATGTCCAAGTTCTCCCAGACGATTAAGGTCTCGATCGCGCCGAGTTCAAGACCCTTCAACGTGTCATCGACACCAAAGCAGTATTTTCCGGTATCTTGGCTGATCTCGTCGAAATATCTCTGTATCAGCCTCTTTTCTTGCACAAACTTGACGTTGGCAAGTGACTCCGCCGCTAGTTCTATTGCCTATATTTTCGTTAGGTGCATCATTCCGGAGAGTAATTTATCGTAACCTAACCTGATTGAAACCATTTTCACCGCCATAGCTGACATCAACGACCTTGATGATCTTCGCGGCTAATCGCTGATCCAGCATATCACTCTGACTCAATTCGGTCTTGAAGTCGGCACTTCCAGCAAGTACGAGTCCAGCAACATTAACCTTGTCGTTCGTAATGAAATGCTGAACAGCCAGCTCAGCGACCTTACGGACGTAGTTGTGACGTTTTTCATCTCGAAGACGTGAGAAACGCAGTGCCGACTGACCACCTCGGCCATGCTTTTTCGGAAGGTCGACGGTGAATTTATGAATTACCTCACGAGTATTGCCAGCAAGTGTACCAAACAAGGAGCCATTACCGTCCATCACGATGAAACCAAATCGCTGGTCAGATTCAAGCAGCTCTGATAGTGCCTCGGTGTGGAATTTATTGTCACACAGGTAAAGTGATCTGTAGACGTCCTGAGCATATTGCGCGATTTGAACACGCAAGCCGCAACTTACGTATTGATCGGTTTATGCGGTTCGAAATCGAAGGACACCTTCTTCTCCTTTCCTTCATCAGTCAAGATCGTGCCCACAAATAAGACCAGCCCATTCGGAGGGACTCTACTGTAAAGCTTCAGTCGCTGCTGTGTACTGGTGATGGCTGCCAACACAGATTGCCTGTTCACGCGAGACTTGATGTTCGACGCCGTGCCGTATTCTTGCGTCAACATACCAGAGGCACGAGAGATTTGATCCTTAAAGCGAATAAGCCCCTGAATGAGAGGAAGAATTACCGGAGTGAACACACCTTTGGAGGCAGGATCAAACTGATCATGGACGTGCCAGCGCTGCAGAGAAGTCAGTACTGAATAAAATCGCACCAAATCGCGACAGAGCGCACCCCCTCGCTGAGTCCAAGCTCTTGATGAGCTTTTTCATCTTCCACATCTGAATGTTCTGCTCTGCGGCGTCGGGCATCGACATCGTGGCAGATTTTGCGTCGGTATATGCTTTAAAAGTGGTTTAGGTGGTTTATCGAAGAAAGTTCTTTAGATACAGAAGTCAAGAGGGAAATCCCCCCGGACGAACAACAGGCGATGGAAGAAATCAAGACGAGTGTAGTGATCAGTGGCGACTCACCTGTGCACACGACGCTCCCGAAAACAAAACTTTCGGGTTACGTAATTCTGTCACGTTATGCACTGATCGCCACCTGCTTTGGGGGCCAATAGCGGTGCATTACATCAACATGCATATAGCCAAGAACGCATACAAGGAGCTCGCTCACGCAGCCCTTTCTTATCCCGCAATAGACAATCATTGCCATCCTCTTCTTTCTGAAGCCTACAAAGATAACTTTGATTTTGAAGGAATCATATCTGAAGCTCGGGGTACAGCTCTGACTGAGGATGCTGTCCATACTCTGGTCTGTTATCGGGCGACCCGCCAGCTTGCAGAACTGTTGACATGTGATAGAGATTGGGATGCAGTGAAAAGGAGGCGAGATTCCATGAGTTATGAAGAACTGTGCAAAGCGTGCCTACAGTCCACAGGAATTCAGTGCTTCTTACTAGACGATGGCCTTGACGCCAATGGCACCTGTGAACGTGTAGATTGGCACGATCAATACTCCTCCTCACCATCCAAGCGGATAGTGCGTGTCGAAACGCTAGCTCAGGTATGCCTATTCATGCACATAGACTGACACAGTTATTTGGACTGAGCTGGGATAGGATATACTGAAATTGCACATTCCACACTTTCTACCTGTCTCGCTTAACGCAGCATCTTTGTGCTTATCGGCGTTCTCGACAACCTTTGACAAGGCCCTTGAAACCGCTGCCAATGATGCTTTAGTCGTCGGCTTCAAGTCTGTCGCATGTTATCGGACAGGGCTAGACATCTCCCCAAAAATCTCGTCGTTGGAGGATGTCGAGGCGTCACTAACGGGAGTTATGAAACGTTTCGCGGAAACGCGGCAACTCAGGCTTGCGGATAAGCACTTCAATGATTATATCGTCCGTTTGACGATGGAGGTCGCCGCAAAGTGCGGCAAGCCCGGTGAGTAAATACATTGCTTATCGTGACTCCGAGACTTACTTTACTTACAGTGCAATTCCACACTGGCCTTGGAGATCAAGATATTTCTCTTGTACGATCCTCGCCAGCCCATCTGCAACCGCTTATAGAAGCATATCCCTCAACGCCAATCGTCCTTCTGCACTCTTCTTACCCATTCACTCGAGAAGCTGGGTATCTCACTTCTGTGTATAAGAATGTCTACCTCGACTTCGGCGAGATCTTCCCAGCAGTAAGCAAGACCGGCCAAAAGAGTGTCTTGCGTCAGATATTGGAGCTCTGCCCAACAAATAAAATACTTTGGTCCAGTATGCTCCACTAAATATTCCGAATTTTCCATTGGACATGATCTCAGACATAATTCTAGCCGATGGACATTTCTGGCCCGAGACTTATTACCTTGGGACAATTCAGTCAAGAGAGGTACTTTATGAAGTAATTCGTGTTCTACTCCCTACCGATAACCCATAGTATTAATGACATTGCTAAAAATAATGCAGGTACTTGCTGAGAGTATTCAAAACGGCGAGCTTTCGGAGCAGCAGGCGGTTGGCATCGTCAAACGTGCCTTGTTCGAGAACTCAAACAAGCTATATAACTTGGGACTGACACCCGATTTGCAACTCGGAATTGAGGCAGAGAGAATACGTTCAAAGTAGGCCTTGAGGAGCGTGGGTGGAAACGACGTCTTTGCAGTCGTTTATATGCGACGTATATATCACGGCAGAACACGGTTTATTGCTTTAGCAGGTAATATAGTAAAGTATGGCATAGTTCATGGAGAGATGCAGACGCAAAAAGGTTGCATTGTCGAATGCAGTAACAGCACAGCGCATATAAGCATTTTAGTGACGAAGTCTAACAGAAAGCTTAGGAACGCAAAGCTCAGCGTCTCCTTGATGAAGTGGCGATAGCACAGAGTGGACCACGCTCAATTTCAGCATGTTCGGGAGTATCGAATTCGATTCCTAAGTCCTCAGCCAGTTCGTTCGCCTGTTGAGGCGGCAGAGAATCAGACACTAGATGCCAGAGACTATTAGGTCAGATGATATCGGCCGATAGTCAGTACGACTCTTCAATGCATGGTAGCTTTTAACTCTTGTTCTGGTCCAGCTTCACGTACTTGTAGAAAACCTTGCGCCGCTTAACCCACTCTGCCCTCCACTTGGTCCAATCAGCCTCAAGCTCAGCAATCTCCTCTGTCGTGAGGAGGGAGGACGTGCCAGCTCGTAGCGGCGTCAGATAGTCCAGAGTCTTCTTTACCTGGCCGTGGATATTCGCAGTTAGTGCACAGAATAATTGACCGGTCTCGGAAAGCTTACTGCGGCCTTCGCTTCTTTCAGCTGCAGGTCGAGTTCTTCATCCGTTGGCGTGCTTCTCAGCTTGGTGAGTTCTATATCAATCATGAGAAAACGACATCGGCTCTTGAGCATAGGTGCGAACCGGAATTGGTCTTCTTGACATCCTCTGTGAGTGACTTGTTTTCTTCTTCGATAGACTTGAGTTCCGCTTCAATTGCAGCAAGCTTGCCAGTAGGTACGTCTTCCAGGTCAGACTGCTTTGCAACAAAAAATGTCGTTTTTCCTGCATTTTCATGTTTGGAGTCCCCTGAGCGTGGCGATTCGCAGATGAAGGAGATAGACATACCGTACGGTTTCTGTGTGATGTCTCCTTTCTCTGCGAGACCTACAAGAATCTTCTGCGTCGCCGTCTTCGGCACAGCACCCTTCAAGTTCGCGCAGACATCCACGGCACCAAAAGGTCTATTCATCTATGTATCTTTTGTTTGCATTCCACACGCATATAAGATGATGAAAACGAACCTTCTTCAAATATTTGAGGACGGCCTCTTCGGCTGAACGCATACACGTTACTGGTCGGATGGAGTGAATAAGCCACCGGCTGGACGGCGTACCTTCAAGCCCTTTGAGTACGGGAACCTTGTCCGAGCCTTCTTTTGTTTTCCCTGGCATGTTGAAATAAGTTTAGACTGGCTGCTTAGCGTGTACAGATGTCGCTCTCTCCTACGATGAAGAACGATTCAATAAAAGGTCGCCTGAGACGCGGCGTCGCGGTCACGTTATCGACATTGAATGTGTGAGAATATGTTTCATTATGTAACAAATCATTTCCATAAACAGAGCTGATTGTTCAATTTGTCAAACGCTGCAGGCGACCTTTCAGGTACACAGCAACATCCTCACCTTTAAATCCATCATACACCATGGCCGTCTCCCTCGAGACCCTAGAAACAAACCTGAGAAACGCAATACCTATAATGCACCTCGAGATCATCGACCAGTCGAACGGCTGCGGAGAGAACTACGAGATCCTTGTCGTGAGCGAGGTCAGCAGAGGCTGTTGTCTTATCAGATAAACGGATCTCTCTGAAATTTGATGTTGTGACCGTTGATGTAGGCATTCGAGAAAAAGACTACATTGGCCCGCCATCGACTCAGTAAGTCCAGTTGAGGATAGTCTGCGAGATACTCACGGCTGAACTGCCCTTTAGTAAACGAGCTCTTGAAGAACGAGATTGCAGAGATGCACGCCTTCTCACAGGTGTGCCTTACAAATCATCCCATGCTTTCATCATTTCTAATTACCATCGCTGTAGACAACGCTTACACCAGCTCAATACGAAACTCGACTGAGCAAGGAGTCCGATGCTTAAATTCTGTGTGGCCCACTGAATGTATAGAGAATGTTTATATAGCAATGTTGTATAACAATTTTTATTGATGGTATGCGCTCCTTAGGGATACATAATTTCGAAGTATTGCAATCATGAAAGTGTGGTCGTTACAGACATAGCATATGAGTCTATAGAAGAAAAGTGTTATGCAGCAGTACTGTTCACGAGTCGTTTCTTTTTCACAGTATTCCATTCCACCTAAACACGGGTCAATCAATCAATGACTGTGAATCACGAAATAAAATGTTCACTTACAAATAAAGAGGTGAAGAAGGCCGATCCTGCAACGGCAATAGGTAAAATAAACGCCCTGTCGAGAGCATACGTGTACGCCACAAGCACACCCTGTAGTTGATCTGTGGGTATGACGTCTCGTAAATGTGTTGCCCCAGTATCGACAACAAGATCAGGATCAATCCCTGTGGTGTGCTTAGGTATCGAGCTTAAAAGCGTGTTTGTGAATATATTCTGCGCCACGGAGATAGCAATGGCTCCACCCAACGCGTTTGAGAACATTATGATTGCGTCTAGTAAAACTCATCAGTCAGCGAATTATTGGTAAGAAGAGTTGGTTTCGCTTACTTCCAGTTGGCATGTCCTGCGAGCTGAGAACAGCCTGGACAGCAAGATAAGGCACCTGGAAACCCGCTCCTGCTCCAAAACCCGCAAGTATCTGATACCCGATCCACTTCGCAGTGATCGTCGACACTCTTAGCGTGAACAATAACCCCGCACCAACGGTAAATACCGCGGAGCCGATCCACAAAAACGGTACATAGTACCCGATTTTGGTTATGAGAGCGCCAACGATAAGTGAGGATGTGGTGATGCTGACGAGATACGGGATGGAGCGGATTCCGGAGCCTTCAGCGGAGGTGCCAAGAACAGCTTGGAAGTAGAATGGGAGGAAGTATATATGTGTGTACAAGGCCATGCTGAGGAAGAAGGTAAAAACGGAACCGCAGAATATCGACCGCTGTCGGATGAACACTCGAGGCGGAATGGTAGCGTCATCTCCCCGATATACCTGAATGCCAAGGAAGACGACGAATTGGAGCCCGAAACCGAGGAGAAGACCCCATACTTTCGCCTCCGACCAAGGATACTCGGTCCCACCGTCTTGGAGTGCCAGTAGAAGACATATAATCCCGCATATGAGGAATAAAGCTCCGAGGATGTCGATTTTCTCCAGTTTTTGCCTCAGAGTAAGGTTGCCGACATCTCGTTTCGGTGGTTTGAAAAATAGAAGGACCGCGAGAAAAGCAGCCCCGCCGAACGGTAAGTTAATCTGATAACCAGTTTAGACTTGAGCCGCTAAGAGATCGCCAAAGACGCCCTACCCAGAAGCACCATCTCCACGAGGCCCTGTCTGTCAGTACGCCTCCCAAAATAGGTCCCACGACAGACGCTATGCCGAACATGCCTGACAGCATCGCGATGTAAATTGGCATCTTCCGTAGAGGCACCGAAAAGCCTATTATCGTATTCCCGCCAGAAAATAGCGCAGAGGCACCAGCACCAGCTATCGCGCGGCCTACGATTAACGTAGTCGAGTTCCTCGAAGTAGCGCATATGACGGATCCAACTGTAGACTGGAGTAAGCAAATGGTCATATTTGATGCCTGATGATCACAAGTGCGGACCTTCAAAAAGAACGAGCGCCGAGAGGTATGTCCATTTTACGTTAAAATAGGTATAAATTTTTCCGAATGTCTGCATAGCATCAAAGTCCAGTCTGGTGCTTAGAGGTTTCTTCAACACTCACAGGTTGTAGACTTGTCGTCGTTAAGAGATAGCTTGACCCATACCACCCAACATCGTCGAGTGAATTGAATTTAGTAGTGATTGTTGGGATTGCAGTTGCTGCGTTTGAGGTATGAGCATGCTGTAAGCGGGAACAAAGAAAGGAAGGTACCAATGATGGTATTGTCCAACGAAACCTTCGTTCGTTTGGAGGTTATTACACACAAAGAATACAACGTAAAATATAACTCGCTCACCACAAATATTACCAGACATAATCCGAGCGTAAGAAGCGCCAGCCTAACGCCCGAAGGGTATTCAATCTGTTCTTCCACACCATGTGCCTCCGTACTATTTAAGCATCCATCTCCAGCCTTTTCCGCTTCATGGGTCTGTGCTTCCACCTTTGGCTCCTTCTTCTCCGCACTGACTGCTACTGTCTCAATCGCATCGTGATGTTGATGATGGCTCTCCGCGGACCTTCTCAGGGTCGATCCTGCGCGGGATGCGGCGCTAGCCCGCTCGTCAGAGTCGGGCGGGTTGTGTTGGTGGGCGGGATTCATCGAGTACGTTGCATGAGAGAAAGCATCGTGGAGATCTTATAGAAGCACGACCAGCGGGCGTCAGGTAATAGCTCTGACTGTCGCCACCTATTTATATTATCACTACGCGAGGCGCACTCACGCCCTATGGTTCTCAGGAGCGCGTCTACTGCTTCGGGCAACTCGCCGACTCAAGGCCGTCGTTGTCGGCGAACTCTATCAATAGCTAAACTCACCGCGAACCATCGCGCGAAAGTCAGACGAAGTGCAGGTCACTCCCATGCAAAATAATCGTATGATTGGCCACCAATTGATGCATACTCTCACAGTCGCGACAATACAGTACGAGATCGTTCAGACGAAAAGGGTATCGGGAGTATTCAAAGACCGCGGAAACTCACATCATCAAGTCTCCTTACTCATGGCTCCCATCCCCTTGAAATTGCATTCCACGAGCAGTCCCGTTATTCCGCCCGGCGTTGTGAAGAAATCCATAAATACCCAGCCACGGGGCAACACGCCGGATGTTTGTGCCAACTGGTCCAATAACCAGCTACCTAGCCTTGCATTGACGCCCTCAACTCCAAGCTTCCAAGCGGGATAGCCGAACCCCTTCGCAATGACAGGTGGGAAGGCAAGTGGGAAGGAACTCGCAGAGAAAAAGGAGATGTTTAGGGTTGGCTGAGTATAACCGCCGGCTGCAGGCGGAAGGAGGACTGCCGTCGCCAGTGACACCTTTTCCGGTATGGAAAAGAAAGAGGGTATATCGTACCTGTGTATAAACTGTTAGCCGGTTGGTAACTCGGCGCCACAGAGGAATCCTACCAATCACTAGTCCGTACAAGGGTGTCCTTGCACATCCATTGGAATCCTTCTTTCTGGCTGTCTGGCCAAGTTGTCGGATGAATTCCCATTCCTTCCAGCCCATTCTCCCAACCTGAGCCATCGCCACCAAATCGACTTAACATGACTACCTTTCCTCTCACTTCTCCTAATTGAGGAATTCGATTCTCAAGGAACCACATATCCCGGCCGCCAGCTCCATTAAAGATTTCGTCATGGACAAGCGTTGAGAACTCAGCGGGAGGTGTAGTGTTGAAGTCTTCTTGCTTGATTGACATAACGACCGTCTCGCTCGACGTTCGTTGGTCGGTAAGGAAGTCATGCAGGCCAGATAGGACGTCCTGAAATGGCGTTCTTTCCGACATAATACCGTGGTGTGCAATCAAGCGACCATCGACTACTGCCAGACGTACGTCAACGACACGTATCCCGCTCTGCAACTGCATAGAGAACGGTGTGCTCTGTGACTGGCACTGAGAAATAGGCCAACCGTACTGGGACAGACTTGCATATCCAGTGCTAGATAAGCCCAACCATTTACTTAATGCAGAATGAACGCTCACGTTTCATGTGTTGCTAACGTTCTTGGCGTCAACTAAGCGTAGCGTTAAAAGAGATGAATCGCTCACACGGGAGGCAAAGATCCGACAAACGATGGTTGTCTGCCACATCTTTCAGGAAGCAGGACAGATCTCTCCTGGGTAAAATGAAGATGTCTCGCTTCACTGACTTTCCATCCGTACTCTGAAGAATATTCATCCTGTTACTGTAAGCTGCTGCCACAATGCTGCGTTGCCACCCACCCGACGCAAGTATACCCTCCAACCAGAGTTCACATCTCCTTCGTCGTAGAGCAATGACCAACCCTTCTGCGCCCGGCTAGCTAATGCAAAGGCCGTGAGTTCGCATACTCGATTTGATTGCTCCGCCTCGCTGCGCAGTAGGAGACCGCCACGACAACGCAGTTTAGGAGTAACGGGAGTGACGGTCGCGACGGAAGAAGCAGGCACCAGAGTAGGCTTAGAGTCTTGGATTCCGATGGAGCTCACGGAAATGACTCCGGATGTAAGATTCTGCACAGCAATGCTCATATTCAATACAATACAAAGCTAGTCAAGCAGTGAGAGAGCCTGTAAGCGCTGCGGAGGACGTGGTGGTTGGTTCATCCATAATGTGGCGGTTAATGTAAGAAAGAAACGCGACGCGATCGGATGATGTTCGCACGTTCATGAGGTTCTCCTTCTGCCTGATTCAGCCTCAAACGGCGCAGTCTCGTATGATACTGTGCTTCTCTCTTTCTTTCTCTCATCTATCTCCTTCCCGACCTCCTTCTCATGGACTCTTCTGACTTAGAAGCTTTGAACTACGATATTTTCATCGTCTTAGTGACATATTTGGACATTTCTGATGTTGTAGCTCTCAGTCAAGTGAGTATCAGAGTATCATGCCGGAACTTGTCCTGAACGCTGTAATTCGTAACATAGTGCAGTAGACTCCTGAGGCAGTTTGCCATCTCGCATCAGACTTGGGTACGGCTAGGCCGAAGACTGATCCTCCAGGGCATACCATTACCAACCAAAGGATTCAGGACACCAGATGACCTGAGTACCAGAGAGCTCATAGACAGTGTTCTCAAGGCCGATAGAATCTATAGAGGATGGACTTCAAGAACTGCCCGGGCAACAAAAATGATCGTTATTAGCAAGGGAAGCAGCCAGTTTGCGCAGTCGAGTCGAGCCAGTACCATGATTTTACCCATCACGTCCGACATTGCAGCCATGGTGTTGGGTCAAACGGACATGACCATTTGGAATATTGTCCAAGGGATCAAGCTTGCCGAGCTCTCGGACTGTATTGAAAGGGTTTCACTCCTGCCTTCTGTCTTTTCACACGAAGTCGATCTTTCCAATAAGGCATTCTATTTCCTCGCACATACAAGTGCTATACTCGGAGAGGGTAGGGACTATCGGATCAAAGTCATAAAGGTGGATTTTATGCACCTTCCCTCCAACCTATTAGAAATCGAATCTACGGTATCTTTTGAGGAGGTCGCCTCGTTTCGCGAGTTTTCTATATGTCGAAGATTTGGTTACCAATTAAGATTGGGAGGAGGGTTCATTTTAAACGCGCAAGAAAGACGCGTTTGCCAGGTATACATTGAGAAGTGTATTCTTCTCTTTGTTGTTCTGGATTGGGACAAACGTGAAGCCGCGTTTATAGACACAGGCTGCCCCCGCCTTGTGAGTGTTTCTGAATCTACTTCACTCCTTTCGAATCTTGATTATTACGCCGCTTTAGGTGACCTTGACCCGAGGGTCTAAGGAAATATCGTTCCATCAGGTGTACGTCTGCACGTGGGACTCCCAGAATGAGACCCTTGTCTTAACAATCGACACGGGACGTTCAACAACATATTACTTCTATCGTGCTTCACAGTTATTACCTTTCATGCGCTCCTTTGACGAGTACAGTGGAGACGACTTTGGCATAAGTACTATCCCAGTGCTTCCCCCAAGCAGGAACTACAACGTTCCGTATCAAACTCATATACCACGGAACAAACTCGCGCCTCTTGCAGTACAGCAGACTGGTTTTCCGACCGCTTGGCACAGATTTTCAGGTGTTTCTGCGGCGCCGTTCTCAAGGCCGTTTTTGGCTCATCTAAAGTCATTTGCCGAGTTGACTACCGAGGAACGAGAAATGCCGGCTCCTCTTCGAGGGAACCAATTCATCAGGCCACCATCTGACAAAGATATCGCTTCATCAATAATTCCATTCTCTCTCGCTACTGATGGCCCGAGGTACCATCTAGGACCACGAGCGAAGATGTTTAGCGTACGTTATGGCGCCTTAGCGTGGACGAAGGAAGAAGAATCGGAAAACAGTGGACTAACTAGAAGTCTACGAATCACAAGGTTTTTCTGTCCATCGTGCAAAAGCGACCAAATAGAACAGGAGATCGTCCAGGTCTGCACGCCACTCCTGCCAAATGGCGGGCCCGTACAAATGGACAACACTGGCGTCGACGGATTACTGTCGTTGTCTCTCGACGAAGTTCACGGACGACTCTTTCTTATTTATCAGACTGGAAAAATTGCTGCGCTGCACTTCGGGTGACCTGATCAATTTGACGACATATACATCACGAACGCCCAATGCATAATAGAAGTTTAGGATACCAACATCAACACCCATTTTCCGACTCGTTAAAATATTGAATAGCTCCAATAATTTATATGGGACATTATACTTCTTGATTTTGCACGTCTGTACAAGTATGATAATACAATCATGTACACTTTTTCCTCCGAATTGGCTTCCAGTACAAATAGAATAATAACACAAACGTACAAGATTGAATTCTTTGTCTCCAGCACCATTTATGGGAGTATGGAAAATGCATTCCACGTATGCGATACCGGAATATATTTACCCGACTTTACCAATGATTACAATCGTGTAGAATAATATTGAACTTATTTCTCGTTTGCGTTACTTTGAGGAGTAGGATATTGAACTTTTCGCTTTGATATTTTCCGGATGACTTTCCTCATTTGTACAGATGATGGCCGAGCAGCCGGGATTTCACTGTTTTACCGGCTATGAGTCATACGCCTGCGAGTTATTCAGTAATTTATACCTTACTGCCAGCTAGACGCATTGCTGTCCGCCTCTCTGTAGAAGTCGACTCGTCCATTGACTACATCGTATTGACGAAAGATGACATCCGTCACCGAACCCTCAAAATCCTCTCAGCTATCAAAGACTGTGGCGGTTATGTCACTAGCTGACGGGGATGCCCAGACGTGTGTGTTGTCCTCGTCATTGTTGCTACATTCTTCTAATCTCCCAGTCTTACCAGAGTTACAGCTCCTGGAGTTCCTTCAGATGGACCCATTATCGAGGCAGCGAAGCCATCGCAGGGTGCGCACGACCAAGTCGTAACACCGTGGGACGTACAAGGCTCGGTATCGACGGATGGCAAGCAGGCCGCAATTGATTACGAAAAACTCATCGTGCAATTTGGCACGCGACGGGTGGACGACGCGCTCTTGGAACGATTTGAACGACTCACAGGCAAACGTGCTCACCCTCTCTTGCGTCGCGGCGCTTTCTTCTCGCATCGGTGAGCTACATCATGATTGAATGATTCATTGGGTGATATTGAACCAAGTCATCAGTGAATTCGACAAGATCCTTGATCGATATGAGCAGGGAAAGCCGTTTTTCTTGTATACTGGGCGAGGGCCGAGTAGTGATAGCATGCATCTGGGACATATGATCCCGTTTGTATTCACGAAGTGAGTGTATGCGTCCATCATCCATCAGTGCTACACTCATCGATGATTTAAGATGGTTGCAAGACGCGTTCGATGTACCACTAGTGATTCAACTGACAGGTAACTGCTACGTATGATTCTTGTTTGATGCGCTCTGATGCAAAAATAGACGACGAAAAATTCCTGTTCAAGCATGAGCTCAAACCGGAGCAAACTTACAAGTATGGCTTAGATAACGCAAAAGACATTATTGCTGTCGGCTTCAATCTCGAAAAGACATTTATCTTCAGTAACTTTGACTACGTTCGAGGACCATTCTACAAGAACGTATCGAAAATATCGCGACAGATCACTATTAACCAGGCGAAAGCGACATTTGGGTTCAATGACTCGTGCGTATAGCCTTCGTTCACTCCTGTATTTAATTGAAGGAAATTTATGTGGCACCTAGCGATAACATTGGCAAAATCCACTTCGCTGCCATTCAGGCGGCACCTTCGTTCTCGAATTCCTTCCCTCAAATCTTTGGCGAGGTCACCAATATTCCTTGCCTAATCCCGTGCGCGATTGACCAAGACCCGTACTTCCGTCTTACTCGCGACGTAGCAGTGAAGCTCAAATACCCGAAGCCTGCACTTATACACTCAAAATTCTTCCCAGCGCTACAAGGACCGCAATCGAAGATGAGCGCATCGGATCCGAATTCAAGTATATTTATGACGGACAAGCCGAACGAGATCAAGAATAAAATAAATAGACATGGTTTCTCGGGTGGACAAGAAACAGTTGAAGAGCATAGGCGATTAGGAGGCAATCCGGACGTGGATGTCAGCTATCAATATCTCACTTTCTTCCTAGACGATGACGAGGAGTTGAAGCGACTTTATAACGTGAGTAGCATTGTGTTATGTAGACACCGTTTCCTGACGCAAAGTAATCTAGGATTACAAAACAGGCGCCCTTTTAACTGGGGAACTGAAGTCTAAATGCATTGCTCTATTACAGGAGTTTGTCAAATCGTTCCAGGAAGTGCGTAACTTCTGCCAGCGTCTATTTCAATAAAGTTGACCTTTTATCCATTTAGCGACGAGCCAAAGTCACAGACGAGGAGCTTAGGTCTTTCATGGATGCCACAAGAAAAATCAGCCCTACCATTGGAAAATGTATTGCTCAAGCGGCCACCTCTACATAATAATAGAGCTAGAATAACGCGTTTTCATATCTGTATGACGATAAAGGTACGAATATTTTTGTATTTCATACAGCCCCATGTGGCCCATTGACAGCGACTGCGGAGTGACCCAAACAAAAGTGTTGGTTTCCAGCCTGAAGATGACTGCATCACCTTCCTATTGATAGTTCAATTGAATGGAGAAAACCTTCGTTGATGGGATCAGAATTGAGCGGTCCCCGGAACGCCTCCTAAAAAACTTCCTGGAATACGGGTCGTCCCTCCGGCAAGACAGAAGCAACTTCAAAGTGGCTTATTTCTCAATTTTTAATATCTACAATGGACCCAGCCTCAAGATGTGGGCGTGGCCGGCCGGACCTGAAAGGACAATGTCGTCGGGGAGTGGCCTGAGGCAGCAAAGATGAGTCATACGAGCGCAATGTCGATCATTATCTAATTCGTCGGAGTTTGAAATGAAAAGGTATATAAGGGCGACGGACGCGTCTTGAATGCGCCCTCTTTTCACGCCCCCCGACCGAGCACAGCCACGTGCACGTTCTAATTTTTTTCCTCGCATAGACTCTGCAAACGCCAATCGTCCCTGTCCGTCATGTCTTTGCCTTCACGCCCCATTGCTTTCGGTCGCCCGCAGGCGCCGCATCAGAGCCAGTTTGTGCAGCAACATCTAGCACAACAGGCGCAACTGCAAACCCAGCAGCAGCAACCACAGCAGGTTCAGTCAACTCCTGCACAGCCTAGTGGCTCAAACATCGCTCTTCCTACCACGTCGACATTTGCGTTACCAGGCGGTTACTCTTTACCCTCTGTGCAGCCGCCAGCTCAGCCTGTGTATACGGTCAGGCCGCCGGTGCAAAGCAATACCACAGCTGGCCCTTCGTCAGCTGCAAGCCCTCCTGCCCAGAATGGCGTGCCAGCCACGCCCGCTCCGCTCACGCTTGAGCAGCAGCACATCACCGCTGTCGAGGGCATCATCCCCACTCTTCAAAACATCGTTGCTACTGTGAACTTGGACTGTCGGTTGGACCTCAAGACCATTGCTCTGCATGCTCGTAATGCAGAGTATAATCCTAAGGTTAGTATCCCATGCACTCTCACCCGCTAAGTGCCTGTGCTTCCCTTGCACTTGCCACTAGCGTTTTGCAGCTGTTATTATGCGTATACGTGAACCGAAGACGACTGCACTCATTTTCGCATCGGGCAAGATGGTCGTCACTGGTGCAAAGTCCGAGGACGACTCGAGACTCGCGTCTCGAAAGTATGCTCGTATCGTGCAGAAGCTTGGGTTCGACGCCAAGTTCTCTGAATTCAAAATTCAGAACATTGTTGGTAGCTGTGATGTCAAGTTCCCCATTCGGTTGGAGGGTCTTGCATACAGTCACGGGCAGTTCAGTAGTTATGAACCTGAGGTACGTGGTGCTGTCATTGTTCGCAAGAACAATGTGTTGAACCACAATAGCTTTTCCCTGGTCTTATCTACCGCATGATCAAACCGAAGGTCGTGCTGCTGATCTTCGTCTCTGGCAAGATCGTGCTTACTGGCGCGAAGGTAAGTAAAGATTCGTGATTATTGTAGAACTCGGTTACTGATATGCTTCTCTCATCGAAAAGGTCAGAGAGGAGATCTACACTGCGTTCAACACTATATATACCGTGTTGTGCGAATTCAAAAAGCCATAATGACGGACAGTTTACCTTCTCCTTTCCTTCCCTCGACTTTTTTTTGGTTCGCGCGGTGGTGCCGTCTTCTGCAGCATGGACATACCCCCGTCGATGTGCATGTTCATCCCCTCCACCACAATCACCAATGGTGATACGCGTTACTGTCCTTCACCTGGACTGTCTAAAATCTCAAAACCCATTGTTTTACTTTATTGCATTTCTTCTTCCTTACCGTGGTAAACCTTACTTTTTTTCTTTCTTTTCACTATCTCTGCAACAATAACCATAACTCCCATATCATCCATCATCCAAGACAGAATACAGCTTTTTTTTACTTTCATGTCCTTTTTATGCCTTTTTTTGGTCGTTCGATTTTTTCTTTCTTCGTAGTTATTAGTAGTGTACTTGCGCCTATACAAAATGCCCTGTAGAACAGAATTTCAGTACCTTTGCCACGACAACGTTGAATTGCGCGTGATATTTTTTTTCGCAAGTGCAAAGTGAGTGAGTTACTAAGCCGTCCTCGATTAGTCAATATCCCGGAAACTGCCAGCCATAGCCTCTTTCTTATTTGGGTGTAAGGCCATATTGGGAAATTGCTAGAGCCGTCTACTGAATTCATAAATAACGGGCTGACTGAACTTGAGCAAATCAATGCATCAATTCTTATTGAGTTGAAACATGTAAGATGACAATAGATTAAAAAATCTATAACTATTAGAGCACTGTGTCTTGTCAGAAATAAATCTGTCGAGTTTATTCAAGTCTTGATTTATAAAGCTTAAACTTGTCAGGCTTTGGAAACTCGTTGCAAGACAAATAAGAAGTCAGAAAATTCTAGTACAGAGGAAGAATGATAAGTACGACTTAAACTATGATCCCGAATAAATGATTGTAGTCGCAAAGACGGGTGTTATCATGCTGTTGTCAAACACAGAAAGGTGATATAAAACTAAATTAAAACACTTGCACAATGTGTGCCTGAATGTAGTTTTCACCGTGGTTAATTTACCTTTGCTGTAAGATTGGTAAAACACCTGATCCCTAATACACAAAAGCAATTTTCAGGCACCTTTTTTTAAGATTCTTATAAGTCTAATTACTTAGTTCAGAAGTATAAGATATACTGGTCTTTGTTGCATAAATAATGTGCCAAGATATTAGGCTCATGTTGTCAGGTACTACAGGGTTGTACTTCTGGAATAGATCACATCAGGGTATAAAACATAGGGATTATCTTGATAGAATTAAATGGCACTTGATAAGAAAACTGGGATCATCAAGTATATTCCATCCTTCATAAAAGCTCTCAACTTCCAACGCAACGTCAATAATTACTACTGCTGACGAACTGTCCTTACGCTACATTCAGGGGAACATGTTTGAATATGACGAGCACAGAAGCATCCCTGTCTCCTCTGAAAGGATCAATGCTTTTTGCAAGGGATAATCCGATTTAAAGTCAGTGTAAGTGGAACGTTTTGTCGTCCCTGAAACCGAGTCGGAGGAAGACAGGAAGACTCAGGTTTACTTGCTTCAAAGTAACTGCTACCGTGTGTATACGTATACAAAGTCGGCCGCCATGCACTAATGAGCGTTGATGTGAATCTTCCAAGTAATTAGGCAAAGAAGTCGAATTGGCTTCTTTTTCCAGAAGCGATGCCATTCGTGTCAACAAAACAGCTGTGATAGTCACTGAAATAATGAACCACTGAGTATTCCACCTTTTCTTAACGCGCTAGGACGATACGAGACAGACACGAGCGTGCATGACCGATGACCGATGACCGACGGTTTAGCGGATCAATATAATACGAGCATGTGGCTAAACATGATCCTACTCCTTTTGGACACGAGGATCGCTGATGCTGATCTGAACTTTCCATGTTCTACGAACCTTCGGACCCACCACATTTTTATGAACTATTTAATTCTACGAAACAAACGGCTCAGCGATCGGTGAGAAACGAACAAACAGCATATGGCCACCATTTCTCGAAAATATCAACAATTAGCAATCAGAAAGCACATGGAACCCGAGAAACGTCAGTATAAGACGCTGGCGGCTGGGACGAAAGGAGAAGAACGAAACACTACAAAGCGCAGCGGCGCCGTTATGCGTGGGGTTTGCTCAATCATAACGGCTTCCGAGATCTGCTGATATATGTTTCGATCGCGGATGTAATGAGCGGCAGTTCGCAAGGTACTGTCCATGGGCGGATTTACTTTTGATTAGCGGCGAGTCGGCGACCCTACCGAAGCTCGCATGGCTATGTCACCCTTGGCGCACCTCTACGTTATGATATAAATATCACCACTCCAAAGGGTGCCTTCGTTCTCCCTTCTCGCTTCTGCTTGTATTTAAACTTCACCACGCCCATTCCTCCATGTACGTTGTCCGTCCCCTTACTGCAATAATGAAGCCAGTAAGAAATGCTGAACATAACCAGTATGTATCTCGTTTCAGTCCATTCTCTTTACTTGATTCCTAACAGCATCGTTCAGTATTACCTCAAGTTCCGCCACATATCATCCAGGGAGAACACCTAAAGCCTCTGTTTTAAAACGATTAAAGAAGTTCATCGGGAGCTCTCAAGCATCGTCGTCTCACCCACAATCAAGTACCATTCGAACTACTCTAACGGAAAGCGAAAGACGTCGAGCAGAGGCGTTAAAGGCATGTGGCCTTCTCGGACAGAGCATCAAGTATGGAGGTCCATACCGCGATGAGGGTGACGATGACGATGCCAAAACTATTATTTCGTCCGAGAAGCAAGCCGATGATGGAACATGGGAGATGAAGGACCTCCTAGACTTTGACGAGGTACATCGCCCTTTCAAACGTTGTTCTTGGAGCTTTTGACTCATTCTACTACCAATTACCTCACAGAAAACAGAGCTTCCCAAGGGCGCTCAGGACTACGAGTGCTCCATCAACACTATTGAGGATGATTTGATATCCGTGGACTCTCCGGAGACGCCGCCAGTTCCGCTCCAGCGCCATTTTTCGGTTTCAACAAGCTCCGACACTTCTCCAACGGTAGAGTCGGAAACAAGTACGCTCTCACCACAACGGGCGCCCATACGAGTGCGCAGTCTGGGAAGCCTGACCGAAGAACTTGATCAAAT